CTAATTTAAAAATTTTACCAATTAATTAATTTAATTTAATTTAAAAAGTATTAATATTCAAACCAAACCACATCAAGGTAAGGGTAGTTTCTAGAGAAAGGGAAATGTTTTCACATTTTTGTCGTTAAAGGCGGATGACCCTGGGCCTAAATTTCATCGCTACTCTGCCAGACTACCTGAGGTCGCCAGTGTATTCCATACCAGTTTCTTAAATGTCTGTTTTGAGTTTTTGAATCAAGCCTACTGCAGTAGACTACAATTCACTCTTTTTTATTTCCAAGTACTAGATAAGTACGATTTACAAATCCATTGTCTCTAAATTCATTCCACCGTTAGACCAGGGTGTCTAGTGAAACAAAATAATTCTATCAAATCAATTGAGAACAGAGATCTTAATACAATTCTTCCCACAACAAGACCAAAATGAAGATACTGCAATTAGGAAGTTACTGATCCTTTTTCCCTCTTTCCAAGACTAAAAATACAAAATTTAAAGTATGCAGCATCCCAGCTACCAGACCATGAAGTGCAAAAATACAGCAAACTGAATACGTTAGTTTTTAACAAGGTCACAAAAGATAATAAGACCGATAGAAGTCAAGGACCATGGATAAAGAAATAACATGCATCCGGGTAGCAAGATATTACTCTACAAATTGGAATCTAGAAGTCAAACCAAGGCTTCCTTTGTTTGGGGAGACCATTTTGCTTAAATCAGTCCCTGGCGCTGCAGATCAGTATATGTCTTTTTGTTGTAGATGTTACCCTCTCTGTCTTCGTATTCCTCTTCAAGATCTGGGCGCCACTTGTTCTGTCCTTGCCTTTCTTGTATCTTTTTCCAAAGTGCCTGCGCTTCCTGCAGTATTTGAATGTTTGAATTATATCATATGCACAAGAACCATCACCATCACAACACAAGGTTTGCTGACTCAGAATTCTAGTCTAGATGCATAATAACTAAACAAAAGATCTGAAAATGCATACCTCAATCGATGTGATTTCATTGAAATTTTTGGTGTTAGGAATACCAAGGCAACGCATCCCATGCTGATGACGCCATTCCTTAAAATGCCTTTCAAAAGCCCTACGCCCCCAATAGCTGTAGTTCCCACATATCTCACACTTAAATTCCTGTAAGAAAATGAGGAAATGAGATAGCAAATCAGAAAGTGCCTGTGGCCTTGCAACATGAATCAAGTTGAAAATGTTCATTCTTATACAAGCCTTTGCTGCTTTCGATTGGGTTTATCAGTCCTAAGACAATACTAACTACCAGAAATGTTAAAATGCATCTACAAATAACAATGCAATATATGCATTAGGAGCAAAAAATTACCTGCCCCAGACCATGAAGCTTATAAAGCCAATAAGGTATTGGCTTCCCATCCCAACCCATTGGCAGTTTGAGGGGATTATAGATCTGTTGTTCTTCATCATCACTCTCAGTGTCAACTTGTGTCTCTTCCTGTTAAGAATTTTGCAATCAATCAATTGTATCTATTATCAGAAACCACAACAGGCTAGAACTTTAATTAATAAGAAGGCCTAAAAAGTACTTTCCTTTTTAATATTACCCACTAGGGACTAATAATCCGTTAGTAATCTATCAGCCTCACTTGTTTCCAAAATTGGTGAACCTTGGAGGATGTAACCAATTACAACCTAGCCAGCCCTCTCGTGTCCATCCTAAATGTCAGTTTTTGAAGAAAACTAATAACAAATAGATATTAAGATACTAAAATAGTTAATTGATCAAAAGAAAACTCAACTCACTCATTTTGGCTAATCTTTCTACCCAATCCTGATAATGGGAAGAAAATTAAGTGTCTTACGCAGATATCCTACGCATCTGAAACTAAGATTTACAGACTTGAAACTAGACTTTGAGATTTACAGGTTTCGATATCCTAAGCACTAATTAAAATGCCTTCCCAACTTGAAACTCAAGTGCTGCAACAGCAGACCCACCATGCCTTAGATAAAGTAACAAATGAAATTATACAAATCTAGCAATATAACCTACATCTGAAATCAAACAATGACAGAAGCAGAAAGGATCAAGTTACCTCCTCTCTTTCTTGTTCCATTTCCTCATATGTCAGTGCCTGCTTCTTCACTATATTTTCCTTTGTTTGTTCTATAGTCTGCAAAACATCCCCAAAAGGAAATTAGTCACATAGCAGCCACCAAAAAGAGTATTGTCTATAGATTTACACAAATGATTCACAAATTTACAGACAAATGACTAAATGGATGACCAAAATGAGTTTTTAAACAAGTTTTGGATCATCTTTCTACCTTAAGTCCTAGAAAGTTCAGGTAAACTAAGTAAAGAACTAACCTCACTCAACAAATCACAAATTTTCTTCATTTTGGCCTCCATCAGGGCAATGTCTTTCAAACTATCAAAGTCTTGACCAGCCACAACAGCCCCATTTTGTCCTGACCCACGTGTGCCTTTGGCAAAATGTTTCTTGTCCAGTTTTTCCAAAGGTATGTGCTGCTCGAAAAAAATAAAAAAGGGACATCAAATTTCAATTGTTTATTTAATTCACACCAAAAATTTAACCGATTAATTCATACCATAGAATTTCCAAGAAACTTATGCCCAGAGAAATTTAGTCAATTCAAACAAACATTAACTCTGCAATAACAAGGATTATAAGTTCTCACATGACTTGGTATTCAAAATGAACAAGCTTTCCGCAGTCATTGAGTGACAGATTTATCTTTCAATTAAGATTGCAAGTGTCTTTATGCCCAGGGATAGAATTTTAGTTTATTTAAATTCCTGCCCCTTAGTAGTTTTTCTGTAATCTGGTCTGCTTTGGATTATTTAAACAATCAATTATAAACCTAATATAAGACATGTAGTTATTTTTTGTTTTATTTATGTCAGAGTTCCACAATTAACTCTGGTTCATTTACAAACACATAGTCCAAAACCTAAAACCTTTGTCTATTTGTGTATGTGTGTAAACCCTACACAAGAGCCTCAGTCACATTTCTCAAACCCATCCTACACCAACTTTATAATCTTTCCAATAGCATTCTAGATAATGGTTAATGCCAGCTGTTATTCTGCATTTAGTCAAGTTGTGTGTGTTACAGAATGAACAACACTATGTGTTACAGAATGAGCAGCACTTTGACCTCATCCAGAACTAAAATACTGATAAAAATTATAGCACAATTAGAACACATCATACCAAACCAAAGCATGGTTAGAACACAGATCACAATATAATTTCTCCAAATACATAAATCTAACTAGGTACAGGAACTAAGAATAGTTACCTTTGTAAGGAAAAGCCTCTCTGCACGCTGCTGGACAGTACCACCAGTTTTTAGTCCTAATGCTGCCAATGCCTGCAAGGAAACATTAGAGTAAGCAAACAAGAAACCAAAAACTTTTTTTTTTTTAATAAAATCTAAATACAAATGAGTACAAACATTGGTGGTGCAGATCTGTCCATGAAAGTATTAACCATTAAATTGCTCAAACATGTCTCCCTCAACTCTCAATTCTCAAATTAAGCACAGCATTGAATTTTATATCAAGATTAGACGTTGAAACTTGAAAGAAATAAGAACAATAGGCAAAGAAGAGTGTTTATAAGGTCACTTAATCCTCAGTTTTGGATTGTTTTAATGAAACATGACCATAACTTTACAAAATAAGACTTCACAAAAATAGTTGTTAACTAGGAAGTAGTGGAGATAAAACAATGAAATAACTATGACAGGTCATGCTTAGAGCTTGCCTCCTTTAACTTTTCTGGGCCAACTTCCATCAGTTCTTCAATCGTGCTGTAATAATCAAGATCAATCATAGTATGCTGCGTGGGAGCATCTCCATTTTCCTGACCATCATTCTCCCATCCTTGTACCTTATGTTCAGCCCACTGCTGCTCAAACTCAGACACAACCTATCACAAGCCCATAATATAGCATTTATAAGATCAATGGAACAAGAAATAGCAGTATGGACCCTTTAAATTACTGAATTGAAAATTAGCCACTTGCAAAGAGGGAAGTATTTCTTAAACATTTAACTAGCAGTTGACATTGACAAGGAACAAATGCTCTCCAGTACATCATGAATATATTCTGAATCTTAAAATGAAAAGATTTTTTTATTACTGTCTGGCATTCGGAGCTGCAAACCGCCTGGGAAACTTGCTCCAGCAGGTCTTTTTGGTTGGATTAATCTCTTTATGTGACTTGGTGTTTATTTTGTAAGTTGCTTAAGTGTATGGTATGTTGTAAGGGTTAGAGAACTACTTGTACTCCTGTATAACATAAATTCTTTAATCCCCAAAGTGATTAAGAACTTAGATTATTAGCAAAACTCTTTAGTCTTCAGTGATATTTTAAAAGTCGGAATAAAAAAAAAAATATAGGACTTCTAGTTTTTCCAGGTATAAGTAAATCCAAAGCTAAAATTTATGCAAAGACTAAACATATTAAAAGAAAATTGCAGGAAACCTATGTCATGAAGTGAACCTTTGAAAATATTCTATCAAGATCTTGCAGTGGCTCTGTCCTCTGAAAGAAATAAATCAAATACTCAAGTAGATTCTCCATGTACTCCCGGTATTGCCTGCAGAGAACAAGTATTGTGTACAAATTGCAGTAAAAGATCCAAGTGAATAAGATATCAAGTTACAAATAAAAATATGAACAATCATCATCATAGAAGAGAAAAATAATATATCATAGGAAAGTTCACCTTGTCGACTTCAGTTTGTGAGGTATATTCTGTGGCTTGGAAAATACATCAAGGTAAGCAGAGTATTCAATCGGTTCTCCGAACTTAGAGTTAATGTACTGATTGTACAATTCATGCATGTCTAGATACCGGCCAAAGGCTTCCTGAAAAAGGAAAACAAGGAACATGATGAGACTAGAGGCCAGTAAAAAAGCACATTATGAAAAAGTAACTAGAAACACGAACACCAAAAATTAGTCTTGGGTTACAAAAGATGTTTAATTAATAATAGCCAACCTCAGAAACTCCTAATTTGAAAACCACATAACCACAGCATAAACATAAAGACCAGAAGATCTTCCAATAGAACTCCCATGATGCTAATATTAATTAGTGCCATTTCTAGATGGCCCCGCAAAAAATTAATTTTGTATATACCTCTCCCGTAAACTCGATGATTGGTTCCTCTTTAAGCAGTCCCTCATACTCTTCATTAGCATCAACAACACGAGCAGCTGGATGCTTCCTGTGGTACTCACGAATCTGCACATAAACCAAATTCAATGCATACCTGAGTGGGATTATGTTTCTGGAAGTAAAGAAGAATGCAAAAAAACCAATCTCACTTACCTCTTTCAATCTATCATAAAATGCACTAAAGACGTTAGTTCCACTAGCAGTTTGGCCTCCAAGAGCTGCAATCTCATCCTTCCTAGCATTATCTTTATCTTCATAAACCTCAATCTAAAACCATCAAAATAACAAGAACTTTCACCAAAACTAGAAGCAGAATAATCACGAAAATTACCAGAAATTCCAAGCAAAAGACTAATTTAAATCGGAGAAAACAAAAACGAAATTGCAGGATAAAAAAGTAGAAGCTAAAAAGAGGGTAAATTACGAGTTTCTCGGTGGTCGAGGTGATGGTGTCGATCATGTTGCGAACTCGGTGGCTCTGGAAAAGGCGATCTTTGCTGGTAGGCGGCTCGGTTTGCAGGTCCTTGACTATAAGCCGCTCGAACCGCTCCACCTCTTCGTGTCCCGCCCTTGTCACCTCCAGTAGCGTCGACGACATCTTGTCTCTCTCGTTCCCCTCCCTGAGTCCGTTCTACAACCAGTGTAGGGCTTCTCTCTCGGCTGAAGAGAGACTTAACACCGGAACCGCACACCTAATTGCTGATGTATTTTTGGTTTTTGCACTTCTTGAAACGCCGGAGGGAAAGGAAACCTGAATCAGGGAAGGTGAAGTCAGTTGCTGACCGATTTTTATCTGAGTCGGTTAATGGGCTGCGGATTCTTGTACCCTGGACTTCTTACGGGTTTAACTTCAAACTGGGTTTGGGCCGCAAATTTCTAACTTTCTATTTTCCTTTTAGGGTGGGCGGATGCAGATATGGTGCGTTGGGTATTTCCCCATTATGTACTTAGACTTATAAAATGACATATACAAGGTTTTGATATCCCATATTTACTCAACTTTTGAAAATTTCTTCTCCCTATATAACTCATGGGGTACAGGAAGCAGCTTTATTTATATACTTATTGAATATTATTATGTTTGATATTGTTTAAAACATAATTAAATCTATTATAAATTTTTTTTTAACAAGGTTACAAATATGAGGAAGGGGGGAATCGATCCCCAGCTCTTGGGATGGGGGATACACCTTATAAGCTGGCCTATGACCGTTGGGCCATGAGGCTCAGGTGCAAATCTATTATAAATTACAATTTTTAGTTTGTAAATATTTATATATACATGAATTCATATTTATAACAAGGGTTTTTCTAACCTTTGGGTGTAGTTTTAGGATATAATTATTGTACTGTATTGACATTAATTGATTTTGAAAATAAAAATAAAAATTAATTTTTATTTAATTAATTGTTCAATTAAAATAATACACATGATGTTAGTAGTGAAATTAAAGTTGAGTTTTGTATTTTCAATGCTAATTAATATTAAAATGGTGTAATACTGTAGTTGCATCCTAAAGTAGAAAAACTTTTTAACAAAACGATTACAACTTTTTACATCTAATTCCAAAAAAAAAAAAAAAAAAGTTGACCTTATTTTTTTCATCTATGCCACACCCATATTTTTAATCAAACAGTTATAAAACTAAAGTCAGTTTTTAATTATTCAATACAATTAATTACAAATAAGTATAATAAATATATTTTTATTCTGCATCCTAAAGTATAAGTTAGAAATTCCCATAACAAAATAAATAAGTTAAAACACAAACACAATAGCTAATAATCAAAGATGTAGTGCTTTCTTTTATACCATTTATGTCTATAC